TCAGCTTCGATCTTTATCTCAGCGAGCTAGGGTTAGGCTATTTTGTTAGCAGCAAGTAAAACACGATAATTACCCGACGGGGCAGGGTATGGTACTATTGTTAACAGAAACCAAACAGCGCATGGATGACAATGTTATTTCCAGGCCGTATGAACAACCCGCAGCGACCCGCAGAGTAAGTAAGGGAACTTTCCGGCGGGTCTGTACGAAATTTATACATGAACATTATGATGCCAAGGTAATATAGCAGCAAGGATAGACAGGGAATATTGATCAAATGATTGGGAAAGATATGCAGCAAACTAATTTGACCTGGAGAAAAATCATTGTATAATTTCTATGTTGATGAATTATACTTTTAAACATTTATAACTATTATTGAAGAGAAAAAAAGCATTTAGTTCAGCCTCCCTTCAGGCAGCGTAAAACAATTCACAATCAATGTTTTAAGTTATATTTTTAAAAATAAATTAATTAAAATAAAATTGTAAAGGCAGCGCAACCGACGCTAAATTTAAGGAAATCCGCATTTTGTGACCGAAGTGAGGCTTCTTTTACTTTTCGTTACCAGAGAAAGCCCCTGTTTATATCCCGACACGATTCTAGGACAATTCCCCCCCGGGCAATTCCCCCCCGGACTATTCCCCCCGGACAATTCCGCCCCGGACAATTCCCCCCCAGGACAATTCCCCCCCGGACGATCCCCCCTCCCCCGAAGAATATATATTTATATACAAATATAAAATAGAAAGTGTAAAGTTTAAAACATTTAATCCATTTTATTAATATTTTTAGTGTCAACAAACTGAAATGGTGCTAAACAAGTAATCTCTCTAAACAAAAGATTATCAGGATTTCTTCTCAACGTTATACTGAAAACGAATAAATTAAAAAAAGGCCAGTTGTGATCGAACTTTCAAAGTAAATAAAACGTTTCAGCAGCTGACAGATTTCTGTTTGTGACATCTGTGAAATATGTGGCCTTTTTAGGGTTTAGAGTATTTTTTTATTTACCCTGATTCCCAGGAAGTGAAACTTCGATACGAAAATCTAAATGTGGGGGACGCTTTGGTAAACAAACATAGTTTCTAATCTGTGTACTAAATACACAGATAGCGAAGTTATAGCGAAGTGACTACAGATGTTTGGTAAATGATCTCTTTCACATTTCTTACAGTACCGTATTGCAGTCCACGTGACAAAATATCCTTATCCTTTTTATCTTGTCATATGGACATAGTAACAGGAAATAAATCCCATTTTCCAGTCTTCGTTTTGCATGTTACTAAAGTCTACGTTTTGCTAATGCTTATATTTTGCTTATGGGGTCATTTAATTCCCCAACCCCAAAGTATGGCTTGCTAATTCTAAATGTACGTGATTTTTTACCCTTAAAGAGCACTTCGACTTGACGAATGCAACCAACCCTAAAAGATACCCTTGCTTCTAGTCTTCAATACGACGGAGAGCAGAATGGGACGACTGAATGATGATAGTCCAATTATATGTTCTATTTAGTAACACGATTGAGTGGTGACTCAATCATCCAAAAATGCTGATATCCTTAGTTAAAACAAACTGTGACTTAATTTATCAGGTTGTTTTTTGACATACCATGTCAGACATATGCAGTTCGGAAAATTTAGAGGTTTCCGTTCTGAAAAGCTTTCATGTATTTTTGTATTTTTGTATTATAGAGGTCGCAAAAAGTAAAACATAAAAATGATGCCTTTTGTTCGTAAAACTTTGATGTATTATTTGCATTATCTGTAACATAGTGGTCGCAAAATCAATTTAAACCGTTTTTGGGCAATTAAGTATTTTTGTTTTATTCTTTCTTTTCTGCACCAAGTCGTTATTTTTCACATTATAGAAGAGGGTTTTTGCTTATAAAATAATGCCTTTTGTTCAGAAAGCGTTGATGTATTATTTGCATTATCTGTAATATAGTAGTGGCAAAACCAGTTCAAACCGTTTTTGCGCAATTAGGTATTTTTGTTTTATTCTCTCTTTTCTGCACCAAGAGTGTCTTAGTTGCCTTTTGTGTATTGTAACTATTCCAAGCAATACAGCAACATTTAAAAAGTAATGCACCACCATTGTAAAGACTGCGCTATTTGGCGTGGAGGACCGTGATTCGCGGTTTATTGATCGTGTAACCAGTGAAATATTTTCATCCATTATTAAAGATATAAAGTGTGGCATTAAAGGTGTAACATACGTCTGGCTGTCAAATTCCTACCACGGTGAACGTACAGGATCCAGCAGTGAAGGAAAAAAAGAAATTGCTACTCTGATGGAGGAGGGTATACCGTGTAGATTTCCCTTAATTATCTCAGTTCACTTAATTATCTCTTAATTGCTTTTCCCATCCTGAAATTGTGTTGTAGGGGAGAGCGGGGCTAGTTGGACTCCGGGGTAAGTCAGATTTCAGAAATAAGAGCCTGCCTCCATGTCTTTTGTTGTATTATTTTCATTAAAAATCACCTTGTTTAAAGGTTTTTGGCAACTAAATTTATATGTTTAGCAAGATTGGTGGTTTTGCAAACCAAGGCGTTATTTTTCACATTATATATATAGAGGAGTGTTTTTAGCTATAAAAGGACGCCTTTTGTTTGGAGAGCTTTGATGCAATATTTGTAACTATCTGCAGTATAATGGTAGTAAAAACCCATTCAATAAGTTTTTGTGCAATTAAGTATTTTTGTTTTATTCTCTCTTTCCCGCACCATCAGTTTGTTAGTTTCCGTTTCAATCGCGAATATGTACTGTAGCTACAGTGTATTCTCACCAACAGTGTCGAAGTTGTTTTTTATCCGTCGTGAATATTTACTGTGACCATTTTCAACAATACATCATTGTTAGAAATAATATTTTACGTCTTATATGTACATTCTGGGACGTATATTGCGTTCATTACTCGGTACTTTACCGATACGGAATAGATTCGAGGGTCAGATTATAATTATTTTAGTCTCTATATCTAAGTAGTAAAATGGATAAGTATCACTTGTATCAATGCCACATGAAAACAATTAATCGGATTACTATCCTGTGGTACTAAATGGTGATGATGATGACAATAATGAACCTATATTACCTACATAATACAACTTTTTTTCGATTGAAAACTGAAGGGCATTTTAATACCGTAGTGAGTACAGATGTTTAGCATTACCATATATGATTTCTTTTGCATGCGATTTTTAAAATACCGTATTGCAGTCCATGTGACAAAATATCACTGACCTTTCCATCTTGTTATGTAGACATAGTAACAAGAGTCGAATGCATTTTCCAGTCTTTGTACATGTTTATAACGTATGCATATTTTCTTCAGGTGGAATTGGATCGGTTGTAAGGCTAAGGGATCTGCCTCTCTGGATTTCTCAAAACTTTAAAATCTACAATACGCTACGATTTGTAGTGGATGTTTTCCTATGGTCAACTTAATATCTTTGAACTCCATTTTATGGCTTTAAATGTACTTAATTAGCCATTTTATCTGCCCTTTCCATGGTACCCTATTGTTAACTCCCAATAAACACTACTTACACTTAAATTGCACTTCCACTTGACGAATACAACCAACCATAAAAGGTCCTCTTGTAGTCTTTGTTACTGCAGAGAACAGAATGAATGATGGTAATCATGTCATATATACTGAGACACCAAAAACTGTGTGGTAATACAATCATTAAAAATGCTGGTAGCCTCGGTTGCTTATTGTAATTTTGTAAAGGAAAGTTAGTGGTTTTATTTTCCAGGTTGCCTTTTTCAAAACTATGCAAAATCATGTGCAGTTAGGATACTTAAGTTCTGGATAGGTTTATTGACTTTTAGTCTTTGGAGATGTTGGAAAACACTTTTTTTTCTAAATACAGACTTGAGATTTAATATGGAATATATTTTTCCAATTTTGCTGACATATAAATGAAAATAAGGGTTAAAGTGGCGTTTTAATAACTTTTATTTATCTCTTTGATGTCATTGTGACATCAGTTCATCAACTGAATTCGCCAGTGAAGCAAACAATTTCAAATAATTCAAAAGAATTGTTGTCATTCATTTTGAAATAAGCTAATGGAAAAAATAAATTTACGTCAGTTTCCGCCGAACAACTCAACTCCTTTTCTACTAACAACCCCACTTTACACTATTAGTTACTGGTGTGCATGTATGCACATATAATTTTTGGGGGTTATGAGTATTTCTGCTGGCTTCCAGCGCGCAAACTTTTCCCAGCTGACGAGAAAATTCTGCGTCTGGAGTTTGACACTGAAAATCTTATCAGATCCAGCGGAGAAGTTCCCCGGTCCTAAAATAACGCGATTAAGTTTGGGTGTGTTTTCATTGCGTGTCGGCACAATGGGACCTCCTCTCAAGTATCATATACTCTGGATATGAGGCACAACAGGGTGCAGATTCCTGAGGTAACACGTACATGTAACAACAAACCAATCAAAAATGGCTTATCTATCTGCATGCCTCTTTAATTTAAATAAACTACCAAATAAACCAAAAGGCAGTTATTTGGGACAACGATACATTGGTCCTCAACCCAATTAAGGAACTTTCAAAGAAACTGCATCTCCAAAGAGGATGCCATTGGGAACTATAGCCTTATCCTAGGACCCATTAGACAACATATCCAACTGAACATCATCGCTATTAAAAAAATCAAAGTCTTAAGCAAAAAACCAACTATTTTATGGGTATGGGGGGGGGGGGGGTTCTGACAAGTTTTCATTTCTCCTCTAGCATATTTGAACTGTAAAATATTTGTCGACTCCTGGTCGAATACCACCCAGTATCTTGTTGAATTGAAGCCTAAGATTTGAATGCTTTGAGAGATAAGTCCTCTGTTTATGGACTAACTACTGCACGAAGTGAAATTAAGGTGGGGTGTAAGTTGGTCATCGTTCTAGAAAGTCAGTTATCTTGAATCTCGATTCTTACTTTGATTCTATACACAAAAAAAAAATATGCAGATTCGAACGTCATATTGTAAAACATTTATTTTTAGGCCTTTAAATAGATGACAATTATTTTACACGTCTTTAGGGAAATCAAAACATGTTCTTTTCAAATCAAAATGCGGTAATTTAGCGTGAACTGCCAACGCTTGTAAAGATTAAGCAGCGAGTCATTTTTACTCGTCCTGACGACAGTGGTTAAGGTTCCTGTCCAGCTTCAAGGAAGGTTCTTCGCACCTGGCCTTGACAAAGTCACACCTGGAAATTAAATCGAGGGATTATCCCACTTACAACATTATGTAAACCCAAGCATTGATCGTGAGAAAAAATGTCGCTCTAGTATCTGAATGGAATATATCTGAATAGATCTTAACATTATGCATTTTGATAGAATCTAAATTGCAAAAAATGATCATGCATATTTGTGCGCCGGTGCCATTATTAATCTTTAATAATTGTGAGATGAATTATGCATTTCATAATGTTACAGTGTTTAATGAGAGCACACTACTGCATGTGAGAATATATATAATTATGATTTAAAATTCAAGTATGTAAATTGTTTATGGTGCAAGCTCACAGCGCATTCACTCACCCAGTTGTGTACATTTTCCCGTTACTGGCGCAAAGCCTTGTGGGGCGGTTCATCCTGTCGGAGCAGCCATCTGTCTCAATCTTCTGGCATATGTCTACGGATGGTCTTGTGGGGCGAGGAGGTCTCGTGGGCGGAGGCAGTCTGGTGACGTTACTGAGCACGTTCACCTGGCTCTGGCAGTGCCTGATGTTCCAGTCAACTCTCAAAGCAGGATCCTCACATCTTGCCTTGGTGAAATCACAACTGTAAAGTAATATAAGTTGATGTTTAAGCAAAATCAACGCTGCTTATGCATACATGCAAATTTTTGGATATTTTGAAAATAGATGACAGACTAATTTGATCCAAATAAATCAAAATACAAATTATCTTATTCATCTCGATACACTGTACCTGTGAGTTTATGTATACTGGGGTTCGTTGAACAGTAAGAATAAGTGCTTCACGTACACGTTCACATGTGTCTTAATGACTTGATCAGCACTTACAACTGCAAATGCAAACAGTTGCGGTTACGTTTTCAAAATGATTTTTTTTCAAAGGTAATGTTGCAAGTTGATGGCGCTACTTTTACTCACCTGGTTGTGTACATTTTCCCGTTACTGGCGCAAAGTCTTATGGGGCGGTTCATCCTGTCGGAGCAGCCATCTGTCTCAATCTTCTGGCATATGTCTACGGATGGTCTTGTGGGGCGAGGAGGTCTCGTGGGTGGAGGAAGTCTGGTGACGTTGCTGAGCACGTTCACCTGGCTCTGGCAGTGTCTGATGTTCCTGTCAATTTTCAAGGTAGCATCTTCGCATCTCGCTTTGAAGAAGTCACAACTGGAAAACAACAGTCAAGGTAACTTCTATACACATGCAATTTTCTTCTCTTCGTTTAGCAGTGACGTAGTTGTTGTTTTCAAAAAGGATTTAAAAAAACGTTTCTGG